GGGGCTACAACACCCTCCTCAAGCCCACGCATCCACCCCACAGGGACTCAGAGGGGCACCTCCTCTCTCTGTCTCTGTCTCTGTCACACACACACACTTGTGTGAACCGAATGGGATTGTGCAATACAAACTCTGCCACAGCTTGCCTCTTCCCTCCACAGGTGGCCATGTAGAATAAGAATATGGGCTGGGAGGCTGGGTGCCTGGGTTCAAATCCCAGTGCCACCACTGGAGAGGCAAGTGACAGCCTCTCTGTACTCCGGTGCTTTGGCTTGAAAATGAAGGTGGTTTAGTCCTCGCCTCCCAGGCTTGTCCTGGGGATCACGGGTGATGTCCAGCAGGCACTTCGCCTGCAGCACAGACAGCACTCGGTCCATTGGAGCTGTGTCCACGCAGGCCCGCGGGCGTGGGCTTGGTGTTTGAGGACACCCGCCGTTTATCGCAGCTATGTTCCCGGCAGAGAGACGCCACGGCCAGCTCACCATCCTCTACCGCTGGGCTTCTGGGCTGTCCCCAGCCCTTGTCTCTCAAAGCAGTGCAGCAGGCCGACCGCCCTGCAGCCAGACCACCGTGCCCCTGGCGTCTGGTGCACTCGGTCCCCAGGTGTGACACGTGGGCATGGCATGACTGTCTGAGGGACAGGTTCCTGGAAGTGGATTTGCACACCTGAAATTTCAACACAGTTCAGTCCATAGCTCTTACTCCACCGTTGCGGAAACAGCACGCCCATGCACACACATGTAGAAGCAGCTCAGCCCACGTGGGACCCTCCTGGTTTGAATGGGAGGACTGGGCTGCCCTGTCCCAGTGGGGACTGCCCATGGTACCCAAGTACCTCAGGGGTGCTAGGGACGTTAAAATGAGAAACACCCATCCTTTGGGGTTCCTTGACATTTAAACGTGGGCGTGTGTTGTGTGCGGTGATACGCAAGTCCATTTCATCTTCAGGTAGCAAGGCCAGGAGTTCCTAGGAAGCTTGGAGTTTGAGGGATATGGGTGATAGACAGCATCTTGTGTTATTTCTAATAAGCTTCTTTCCACAAAAATCTGAATTTTCTGCTAATGAGGTGACTTGAGCCCCCCAGATGGCCTGTGGCTAGAGGAACCAACCAGAGGATTCGAGGACTGGAAATTTCACCCCACCCTGGGCCTCAAGGGAAGGCCACTAGTGGCCAGCCAGGCTGATGATTCAATCAGCTGAACATAAGTAATAGAGCTTCCGTGAAACCCTAAGTAGCAGGGCTCAGAGTGCTGAGAGTGTCGAGCATATCCGTGCACCCCGGGGGGTGGTGGGCCCCCAACTCCTGGGAACAGAGGCTCCTGCACTCCAGCCCTCTGTCTCCATCTGCACCTCTTCATCTTGCTGATCATTGGTGTTCTCTGCAGTAAACTGGGAATGTAAGGAAGGGTCGCCCTGCCTTCTGTAGGCTGTCACGGCAGATTACCAAACCAGAGGCGGGGGGCACGAAACCCTGGATTTGTGGCCAGGTCAGGTGGATGTGTGGTCACCGGGGGACCCACTACCTGGTGTCTGAAGTGGAGGTCAGTCTTGGGGGACTGAGCTCCTGGGCCCTGTGGGCGCTGTCCTAGCTCCAGGGTGGGTCAGCATAGAATCAAATTGCTGGACACCCACTGGGTGCCCCCAGAGAATCACAGATGCCCACACAAGTGGTGTGGCAGCCACACATGGCCACGGTCACGGCTCTGCTCGCCGTCGTTGAGCTGATGGAGTGGTCTCTGCTGCAGCACTTTCTAATGAGATTCTGGAGATTTCTATCTGTCTTGTTTCCTGAGGGAGCGCTAAAGTATGTGTATGCTCAGATTTCTAATAAAGTGGGGGAAGAGCTCAGGGGAGAGAAAAGAGCTTCTTTTTTATTTTAAAGATTTATTTATTTATGCATACAGAACTGGGGTACAGGCCAGAGGTGCAGGGGTGGTGAGAGGATTCACCAGAGACAAGAGAGGTGAGCAGAAGGAACAGGCAGATCGAGGGAGTAGACTGCTGAGGGGAGCAGTGAGGGTCAGGAGAGGTCTGCCGCGCCCTGTGGGTCACCTCCAGGGCAGGTGGGGATCAAACTCATGCAGAAGTGGCTTTAGCTTCTTAGTGCTGTGCTATAAACCACCACCAGGGAGGGCCCCCCCAAAAATTGAGCTGCTGTGGACCTTCTAGAGTGGAGTTCCTATGAATTGATTCTGAGCCTACCCAAGTCACTCACGTGTGCACAGGGCACCCCGTTTTCCCCACTCTCTTCTGTCCAGAGCATCATGGGGATGGTCTGGGAACCAGACAACTGAGTTGTGTTTGCATCCCCACTGCTTACTTACCAGTTGTGTGGCCTGGCCCGGTGGGACCTTTGCCTTGTCTGTAGAGAACTCCCTGCGTTCAAAGTTACTCTAACACAGGTTATGCATGGGCGCACCTGCTACGTGAGGCTCTGTCATGTTAGCCTGAATACCATCATCTCCACATGATCCCCACTCTCCCCGCCCCATCCTCTGTTGGACCCCAGTTCCCCGCAGATTGGGAGCTGTTCAGTGTCTCAGCAGGATAAAGGATATTCAGGGGTTTAAAAACCCCTGGGTTCACTGAGTAAATGGATGGGTTTTAAGTGCTCGGTATGTGTGGAATGAATGAGTGAGTAACAGGGGCCTGGTGAGTGTTCTTAGTGTTCTTTGGAACAGGGTTCTCGGACTGGGTGATTGATAAGACGGGTAGGTGTTGTCAGTGAACAGATGAATTTTAAGGCCTACCTAGTTCTTACCAAGCAAAGGAATGACTTGTATGTCCCCAGAAACTGCTGAATTTTGGGGTACATCCCTGGGGGAGTCATATTACCCCCAGCCTCTGAAATTAGCCTTGAGGCTGCTACATAGACCTGAGCTCCCCAGCGCTCCTGGCTTCCACGGAGTCTCATTTCCGTGAGGCGAAGCGTGTGGAGCAGAGGGACAGCCTGCGCACAGAAGACTGCCCAGGAAAGGGGCCTGGGTGCTGGCGTTCCCAGCTTCCCCGCACCTGCAGGGCCATGCGTGGACAACTGCCTTAAGGCCAAGGAGACATGAAAGAAAGGCTGTTGGGGCCGGGGGGTACTTCGGGCAAGGTCATCCTTCCTGGTTAAAGTCAGAGACGAGCCAGGCAACAGGGCTTCTGACTGGGCTGGAAACAAAGGCCCTGCCCGACGTGGCTGCGTGAGTCGGGGCCATGCTGGACGCTGCCAGGCTGACCCACAGGCATGGCTGAGCCACCAGGTGCAGGTCTGGACAGCCAGCTCAGCCAGCAGGGTGGTGCTGGCCTCAGGCCCGTATTTCTGAGATGCTGAAAGCCCTGAGGCCTCGGCCAGGCCCCTGCCTGAGCCACGTGCTCATTTTCTTGACCTTCACTGTTGGTGATGCTCTTCAGCAAGTATTGATCGACGAGTGCAGGCCCGTGGATAGTGAAAAGTGAGGCTCCTTCCCTCCCCTGCCTTGCAGACACGTTCAGATCCTGGGTGTACAGCAGTGGTCATATTCTCCTTGGCGGGTGGGGGAGAAGTAAGAGAAATCAGTGTGTATGTTCACTTACCAAGGAGAAAAACGAAGCAGGAGAGGGGGTTGGGGGTGGGAGGAAAGATTCCCAGTTCCCCTCTGAGACGCGGCCCCTTCCCACCACCTCACTCTACGCCTGTACCCGAGGAGTCGGGGAGCCCCTACCCGCACACACACAAGACACACACACACTGGAGCCGCCGCCTCCCCTCCCAGGATGCGCTTTGTGTCGACTGGTGGTGGTCCCCCCGCCCCCAGGGGTTGCCACACACCAGGCTGTTGGGCAGCCCCCTCAGTCTTCTTCACCCAGGAAAACAGTGACTGTGTCCTTGGCGCTTTGCTGACACCTCTGCTGCTCTGGAGCTGATAACTGAGAGCTGGAGACAGGCAGTAAAGAGATAATGAACAAGCAATTCCAACTGGCAATGCTGCTGAGGGGACGGAGGCGGAGGGGTGACGGAGGGCGGCTCTGAGGAGACAGGCCCCTGTGCCGGGAAGGGCGACTCGAGGAGGCTGCTGGGAAGAGTGGACACCACGTCAGGGGCCAGCCTGGGGACAAAGGGAGGGAGGACACCCAGGGCCCCTGGATCAGGCGTGATTTATGAGAACAGAGAAGGCGGTCGTGTGGCGGCATCTGAGCAGCATCAGGGACGTGGGCAGGGGCCAGATCCTGCGGGGTTTGCGGGCAGCAGCCGGAATTCGGAAGGAGCCTCTAGGGAGATCGCAACAAAGAAGTGACAGGAACTGGTGACCGGCTCCTGGCATCTATTCCTCACATATTTCCAGAGACGCTCCCTCCCCAAGTCCACCAGTGCTCTCCGTGGCTCGGCGTGGTTTTCCCTCCTTTTCTGGCGTGGTGGTGTCTGGGCAGGCTGCGACTCCCATGCGCGGGAGCCCAGCCTCGGGGGCTGAGGCGTGAGCTCAGTGACACCGTGGGGAAAGTCAGGCAGATCTTGGGGTGGAGCTAAGGTAGGCGGGGAGACACCTGAGAGTAGAGGGGACTGGAGAAACACATCTGCCACAGCAGAGTGGGGTTGCTGTGGGGCCTAACGGGAAGACACCAGCTCTGAGCCCGTGGCGACACAGGGCGGCCGTGGGCTCAGGGGTTAAGCAGTTCCTGCTTCTCTGGGGGGTGGGGGGGTGACTGTCTCGTTAATGGCCTTGTCTGCTAGAGGTGCAAGCTGTTTGTAGGTGAAAGTGTCTGATGTCTGGGTTGTGCGCTGAAGTGTTTTGTCCAGCCCTCCCCACCCCCATCAAAACAAGTGTAGGTGGGGTGGACAGATGAAACAGGAGTGACAGTGCTCAGTGTGGTGATGGTCCTGGAAGCCGATGAGGGGGGCCATCACACTCTTGTCTCTGCTCTGGGGTTGTGGGGATTTCCATAATAAAAATGGTTTTTTGAATGAGTAAAATTGGGGCGGGGGTTGCTCTGGGAACAGTAAGCTTAGATCTCACCTTTACCCTTTCTGCCTTTTCAGCATGGCGGGGAAGACCCCCCTTGGGCCGGCCCGGACTCACGCACACCCGCTGCCTGTTAGGCCCTGCTGAACCCTCAGCCTGGAGCCCCCTGGACAGCGCCTGCCTTCCGAGGCTGTCCCGGCTCAGCTGTCCACAGCGATGGTGGAGAACTGGACTCCACAGACTCACAACCTTCCCGTCAGACTCCAGGGGCCAGCATCCTTCATCCTGGGACTGGCGACCCTGAACAATGGCTGAGGGCCGGGGGACCCCATAAAGTAACTCCACAGCTTACGGGGGCCAGTAGCACTCCATTCCCCTGGACTATGACCACCTACCGGCCCATCCCCAGTGATGGTGTGGACCTGGCAGCCAGCTGTGGGGCCAGGGGGGCCGATGTCCTCCCTGGGCCCCACACAGGGGACTATGCCCCCATCGGATTCTGGGTCCAGAACGGTGGCTTGCCTCAGCCTGTTGGTGAGAGCGCGGCCGCGGCCACTACCCGCCCCAGTCCTACCACCCCTGCGGTGCCCAAGATGGGCGTGCGTGCAAGAGTCGCCGACTGGCCACCCAAGAGGGAGGCCCTGAGAGAGCAGAACAACCCCAGCCCCTCACAGGACGTAGATGGCCCGAAGGCCGCAAAAGCGGCCCAGGCCGTGAGGGGCACACAGAATGGACAGCCCTCCGCCGCCACCCCGGCTTCCTCAGGGTCCAAAGCCTTCCACCGGCTGTCCAGGAGAAGGTCCAAAGATGTGGAGTTCCAGGACGGCTGGCCCCGGTCCCCGGGCCGGGCCTTCCTTCCCCTGCGGCACCGCAGCAGCAGCGAGATCACCCTCAGCGAGTGTGACGTGGAGGACGCGGGGGAGCCGCGGGGGGCCCGGCACGCAGGGGCGCTGCCCCTCTTCCGAGAGTACGGGAGCACGTCCTCCATCGACGTGCAGGGCGTGCCGGAGCAGAGCTTCTTTGACATTCTCAATGAGTTCCGCAGCGAACAGCCTGAGGCCCGGGCCCCCCAGAACCTCCCTGAGCTCCTCCAGGCCGACCCCGGCCCCCATCTCGCGGGGAGCGGCAGTGGCGCCAAGGGTGACCTCCGCAACGGGCAGTCCGCGAAGGACACCCTTCTGCCGCTGCAGCCCATGAAGGAGAAGGACAAGGCCCGGAAGAAGCCCGTGCGGGGCCCGGGCGGCGGGGACACCGTGGACTCGTCCATCTTCCGCAAGCTGAGGAGCAGCAAGCCAGAGGCCGAGGTGGGGCGCGCCCCGGCGGAGGCAGAGGAGGGCCGGAGCCCCCCGGAGGCCAGGCCCTGGGTCTGCCAGAAGAGCTTTGCCCACTTTGACGTGCAGAGCATGCTGTTTGACCTCCACGAGGCGGCCGCCAACAGGGTGTCCACCGCCCAGCGGCGCAACACCACCACGGGCGCCTCGGCCGCCTCAGCCACGGCGTCCCTCACGGCCTCGCGCACCCACAGCCTCGGGGGCCTGGACCCCGCCTTCGCCAGCACAGAGGACTTGAACTGCAAGGAGAACCTGGAGCAGGACCTCGGGGACGACAACAGCAACGACCTGCTGCTCAGCTGCCCGCACTTCCGCAACGAGATCGGTGGCGAGTGCGAGCGCAACGTGAGCTTCTCCCGGGCCTCCGCGGGCTCCCCGGGCGCAGGCGAGGGCCGCCTGCCCGAGCCCGCCCTCAGCGCCTACCGCACCAACGCCAGCATCTCTGTGCTGGAGGTGCCCAAGGAGCAGCAGAGGACCCAGAGTCGCCCGCGGCAGTACAGCATTGAGCACGTGGACCTGGGCGCCCGCTACTACCAGGACTACTTCGTGGGCAAAGGTGAGGCGGGGCTGTGGCCGGCCTCGAGACCCCCGCGCCGTCTGCCCTCTGGGCCAGGCCTTGCTCCGAGCCCTGAGGACACAGCAGGAGATGGAGCTGCCTTGGAGACAGGCTGTGAGGAGGCCGTGGTGGAGCCTCAGCCTGCACTTGGCCCGGAATGTATCTAGGGCTTGGCCCACATGAGACAACACACACAATTCATTAGCAAATGAGTGCTCAGTACAGAGTGGGCCAGGCTCTTTGCCACTCTGGGCATACAGAAGTGACTGGTTTTAAACAAAAATCTTGTCTTAATGGTCTGGTGGGGTGAGTCAAAATTGGATAAACACGTGAGTTGTGTGAGTTATAGGGCATAGGTACTTTTATTTTTTTTTAAGGTTTATTTATTTATGCACACAGAACTGGGATACAGCCAGAGGTGTATGGGGCAGTGAGAGGATTCACCAGAGACAGAGCGGGGAGCAGAACAGGCAGATCGAGGAAGTACACTGCTGAGGGGAGCAGCGGGCGGGCCGGGAGAGGGCTGCCACGCCATGTGGGTCAGCTCCCTTGCCGGGGATCAGACTCATGCAAAAGTGGCTTTAGCTTTGTAGTGCTGCGCTTTAGCCTGCTGCGCCACCAGGGAGGGCCCCGGGCAGTAGGTTCTGTGGAGAGAAGGAAGGCAGGGACAAGCAACCGGAGTGTCAGGGTGGGAGGCTGCAATTTTCATTTTGCACTGGTCAGAGAAGGCCCCCTCGCCAGGTGCCACCTGAGTGCTGAGCAGGTAGACACGGAGAGTATTGCTGGGACAGAGAATAAGTATGTTAGCTCCGGAACACTGAAAAACTGAGGAGGAAGCCAGTGCTGCCAGAGTCAAGCGTTGAGAAAGTGGAAGGAGCTGAGGCAGAAAGGTGACCAAGCGGGTCATATGGGGCTTGGTGGACCTTGGTGAGGAATCTCTCTTGCCCTGAATGAGATGAAGCTTGAAAATAAAGGGATGAGGGCCTCCGTGGTGGCGCAGCGGGTTAAAGCACAGTACTGAGAAGCTAAAGCCACTTCCGCATGAGTTCGATCCCCGCCTGCCCCGGAGGTGACCCCATGGCGCGGCAGACCTCTCCTGACCCGCCCGCTGCTCCCCTCAGCTGTGTACTTCATCCATCTGCCTGTTCTGCTCCCCACTCTGTCTCTGGTGAATCCTCTCACCCTCTGCATCTCTGGCCTGTACCCCAGTTCTGTATGAATAAATAAAAAAGAAAAGAAAAGAAAGGGATGAAAAAAGTTCTGGACACTTGCCAACCAAGGGAAAGGAGGTGAGAGGCAAGAAGAGAGGAGCCAGTGTCACACGAAATAGAGTTCAAGGCGAAACACACTTGTTCGAGGCACTGAAGAGCCACTTTATGTTTATTTTTTAAAAGTCACCAAGAGACTCAAGGAGTGGTGGACCTTTGTGTACCTAGGTCCACCGATACGGTTACAGGGAGAAGCGGGTAGAGCCTCGATCTGTAGAAAAAGTTGACAAGGTTTCTCTCTGAACCGAAAAATAAGCCCCTAGAGGACTTGAATAACCCAAGTAGAATCCAGTTCTATATTTATATATACATTAATTTTTTTCCTAACACGGGACACTTCCTTTTAACTCACGTGGAGAAATACCTATAGGACAGCCTGGCAGTGAGGATCGAGCAACATAGTTGGTTGAAATACTTAGTTCCTTATCAGGCCAGTGGTAAGCACTCATGGAATTTTAAAAAGCCATTTTCTTTCCAAAAGTGAGATCTTTGTAGCCTGGGAAGTTCCTAAATAAATTAGAGGTCAGTCAGTGTGAGGAGTGCCTGAGGCGGGCTGAAACGGCCAGCACTGGGTACTCACTGGCAGAAAACCACAAAAACACCCGTCATTGCTCCAAGCTCTCGAGCTGGTCACTGGAATCTAATATTTGCTCTCAGCTCCCCTTGGGAGTGAGTTAACCCTCGGATGTCCTAATTTAGGCCCGTCGTTACCACACACTGTGAGGGCCTTAAATGAGCCTTTGATCCACCAAGAGCACCCCCAGAGGACAGCAGCCATCAGTGAAACACCAGCAGCCCGGCAGGGAAGGCAGGTCTGGGTGGAGGCTGACCTTGGTGACCTGGTCAGTGCAGCTGCCACAAGCGGAGCTGTGGGTTATCCAGCAGCAAGAACTGTCTGGAAGGCGTCTAAGGAGGGCAGCATACTTTAGGAAAAGGGGGACACAGCTGTTAAGGGGAGAGAGCAGGGTCCTTTCCGCAGGACTTGTGAAAAGCTGTCACAAGAGACAGCAGTTGCAGTCTCCTGGGCGATAGGCACGTGACTGGGAAAGGAGGGGCCCGGGGGCTGGAGTCATCGCCCCTTCCTGTGACAAACGTCACGCTGGGCACCCAGGCCACCAGTACCCTCAACCACCTCACCAGAGCAAGTTGGCAGCCAAACCGAGCAAGCCACTTGGAGCAGTCACAGTGAGTGAGGCTGGGTTGCTCCATGCCACGCACAGTTCTGAGAGTTATGACCGTAGCTTCATTCCACCTTCACGTCGGCTCTGCATGGTGGGTAGCCCCAGGGCCCCCATTTCTCAGATGAGATCGCCACAGGTCCTATGACTCGGCCAAGATGGTACAGTAAGGTGGGCATCTACCCCTGCAGTCTCCCGTCAGGGGGGCCGCAGCAGGCGGTGTTTTGTGTGACCAGGGCCCCACAGTCGCCCAGGAGTCACCCCTCCTTTCAGAGAGCTGACTGAACTGACCAGCTCTTCCCTTGCAGAGCATGCCAATTATTTTGGCGTGGATGAGAAGCTGGGGCCAGTGGCCGTGAGCATCAAGCGGGAGAAGCTGGAGGACCACAAGGACCACGGGCCTCAGTACCAGCACAGGATCATCTTCCGCACGCGCGAGGTAGGCCCGGCGCCGCCCACACCCACACCCACACCCACACCCACACCCCCTCGCGGTGCAGCTTCTGTGGGCAGGCACTGCCCTCCTCCTTCCCTGTAACCTGCCCAGCCACTCGAGAGTGAGCTGCGTCTCCCCATTTCACAGATGAGAAAACTAAGACCCAGAAGACAGCTTGTCTAGGATCTGTGACCTGTTCCTGCCGCCTCTCCCTGACTGTAGATTCCACGAATGTTCTATTTGCGAGAGTCACTCTAGTAGCTTAAGAATTGTAAGAAACGAAGGGGGTGGTGTAAGGAAGGAACCCTTTTGGGATCCAGAGGTGCCTGTGGGATGGAAAGAGTTAAGGCAGCAGGCTCTTTTCGGGGGTTGGCCAGTTCAGAAAGCTCTTTCCAGTCTGAGCAGAGGATCGCGTTGTCCGGGCATGGGACACCCCCAGCCGTGGCTAGGGCACAGGGCCGTGGGGTGCCCTGTTGTAAGTAACAGGTATCTGCTTCTGCTTCTGCTTCTGCTTCTGCTTCTAAAGGCACGAAGTCCGAGAATTCACATGGGACTGAAAGACCAGCTAGGGCTGGCTTCAGGCGCTCACGTGATGCTCCAGGTGCTCACGTGATGTCACCAGAACTCTCTTCCTTACTGCTGGGCTTGGCTTTGCTGCTTTCCACAGTGTGACTGTCCTTTTCTCCCACCAAAGTCTCTCCATGGCTTGGGAGATGGAGACTGCTCAGATCCTCTATGTCTTTGTCCTCCAGCGCCGGGATGGCACGGGTAGCTCTGGGGTTCTCTGCAAAGGATTCTGTTTGGCCCTGTGCGAGTCAGTGTCATCAGGGGTGACAAAGGAAATGGGCCACGTGTGCACCACAGATGTCCAGGGACAGGGCAGGGCACTGCAGTCCCGTCAGAGCCACCTGGAGGAGGTGGCCGGGAAGCTCCTCAGCAAAACCTCAGGGAGACTGTCCAAAGACCCCAGAACGAAGCCCTTTCCGGGCCCCCGCAGTGAGTCTTCCTCCGGCCTTGCTTCAGCCCCTCCCCCCATGGCCTGGCCTTTGCCCAGACACGGGACCCAGCAAGCCACTGCTGCCAGAGACGTCGGATGTGGGGCCGACTGCGCCTGGGCGCCATCCAAACCAGCAGCTGCTGCATCAAGGGCCCGAGTCTCGTCCCTCCTGAAGGCCTTCCCGCTGGGGGGATGGGATGGCACAGAGGCTGTGTGGCAACTGGGGGAGGCAGCCCCAAGAACCTCATGTCCTCCTGCTCTCCCAGCCCCTCCTCCCTCTCCTCACCTTCCTGGCCAGATGAACACCAGGGCAGAACAGGAGGTGACAGCTTGCCCTGCGACAGCCTTGCACGGCAGACAGCTGCTGGGTGAAAGGACAGTGACATTCACACTAACGAATGATGTTTGTTACTGTGGCTGTAGTGTTGCAGATCTGCTTAACACTGTTATGTCTGGTACTTAGAGCCTTCATGGCTACACGCATGCTAGTGTCAGGATGGCTCTGTGATGAAGGTGTTTGATCCTCATTTACAGATGATGAAACAGACCCAGAGCACCCCAGCAAGTGAGGTGGGGAGGTTGACCTGCACTTTAGCCACCACCCCACGTCACCTCTGGGACTCCGTGGGGTCCTCAGGGCTCAGAGGCACAAGTCTGGGTTCACCTACTCCGTGGAGATCCCTCAGCGCTGCCCCTGCCATCCCTGGGCGGGGTGCTGAGGAGGGTGGTAGCGACTCAGGCCACAGAGGTGCTCCTGGGCCTCACTCGTCAGGCAACACACAGCCTATTGACAGGGTGGTGTGCGATGAAGGGGAAGTCAGCAAGGGAGAGGGCCGAGGAGCGTGAGGAGCAGGCGGTTTAGACCGGACAGAGGAAGTGCCGTTGGGATGGTGACATCTGGGTAGGGACCCACAGGAGATACAGGACGGCTCTCTGAGGACATCTGGAGAAGAACCTTCTGGACAGAGGGAATAGCCAGCACCAAGGTCCGGAGGCAGGACCCTGGTGTGGGTCGCACCCAGCTGGTCAGTGCAGTGAAATCTAGGGTGCCCAGCTCCTGTCACAGTCTGTCCCCCTGGGTATCGAGGTCTCCTGGGACCATGGTGTGGGGTCACACATGTCAGGCAGGCAGTGCTGGGCCTGCCACTGGAGCGAGTGCAGTGAGTCATCCCGGAAGTCGCAGCCGGCCATACCGCCGTCACATGCCTGTCAGCCCCAGAACCCTGGCCCCACTGAGAGGCTCACGGCCGCAAGCACCCCTTCTGCTGTCTTGCACCCAGCCCCGCAGAGCCACTTTCTGGGCACTCTGACCTCCAAGGCTTGGCTGTCTGGGGCAGGAGGGGGGAGGGGCGGTGGCCCGCAGGGTTTGCCTCGCCTCTTCTCAAGGCCGCTCCTGTTAGCGAGGCAGAGCAGGGTCGCAGCCCCGATGTCATGATGGCATGAGGACCGTTCTCCACAGAGTCCGTGCACAGAAGCACTCTAGCACGTCGCTGCCAGGCACGTGTGTTTTATATCGCGGACCCTCCCACGACGCAGGGCCCAGTATTACGTCTGTTGTATACAGGAGGACGCTGAGCACGGAACCCCAGGTGCCAGAACCGGCCAGGACCCAGGCCCTGTGCTCGTAACCACTTATCGCTGCCTGTTGGGCTGGTTGATTTCTGCTCCAGGAACAGAACCCTGGGTTGATCGGCCTCTGCCCTCGCTGGCCGTGTGACCTCGGGAGAGGGCTTCCCTTTGAGCCCCTCAGTTTCTTTGTCTGTGAGGTAGGCTCATGATGTTCCATGTCTCCTGAGGCAGCAGCACAAGTCGGTGGCCAGGCAGGTGCTCTGGGCACCAGGTACTGTCCTGGCCTCACCCCTGTGGGGACCGAGGGCCATGCTGGACAGCAAGCGTTGGGCTCAGTGATGGAGTTCTGGCCTGTCCACATGCAAGTCTCAAGGCCTAGGGCCAGGGCGAAGGGCCCAGGCTGTTTTCCAAGCCAGCCGGCTGGCCCATCCCAGATGGCCACCCCCAGCCGCCAAGCAGACAATCAGGAGTGGGCCCGAGCTCCCGGCAGATGGGATGTGAGCATTGGCAGCACCGCGCTCTCCACGGGGTGGGGACAGACTTGGAGCTGGCTTTGGCACTGTGCACCTGAACGTGGGCCCCCACCCCGAGCCTGGGCAGGAGCCCCCGGGGCCAAGACTGCCCTGTGCTGAGCCCCTTGCTGGCACCGTCACCCAGGACACAGGCCCAGTGCGCGGGACACTCAGGACGCCAGGCCCAGCCGGTGCCCTGTGGCCCAGCAAGCATGAGGTTTTAAGGGACCTTAGTTTTGTTAAGGTTCGCGCTTTGGATTTGCATTTTCTTTGTTTTGTTTTCTGATTTAGAAAGTAGCAGTTGCTCGTTGCTAAGAATTTAAACAGCACATGTGTGTAAAGTAGAAAAGGGCTAGTCTTGTATTGGGTGAAAACACAAGTGTACTGTTGCATCTATTAGGAACTCTGGGTTCGGAGGTACGTGTGTGTGTGTGTGTGTGTGTGTGTGTGTGTGTGTGTGTGTGTGTGTGTAGTATTATAAATAACCTCCAAACACAAGTGTACTGTTGCATCTATTAGGAACTCTGGGTTCGGAGGTACGTGTGTGTGTGTGTGTGTGTGTGTGTGTGTGTGTGTGTGTGTGTG